TGGTCCGCGGACAGGGTCTGTGCAAAGCAGGCCTGCCTACCGTCGGGAAGGCGGATGTAACCGCCGAGCCCAGCAGAAGTGGAGTCTGCGCATGCGTCCGCAAACGCCTCGCAGACAAACAGCGGACGGTACAGTAATGACCTGAAGGGCTGCGGAGAGCTGGCTAGGGTGAGCCACACGCGGAGGACCTCCAAAGATTCCGGCGAGAGCTCCCTCTCTGGACGGAGGGGGTTAGCAACCTGAACCCAGACGCGCCGCGAAGAGATGTGCTCAGGAACCTCCTTGAGGCTGGAGACCTGAGTGTGTGCGACACGGAGCAGCTGCAGCCCAATGGCCGCAAGCGGAAGGGGAGAGGTGATGCGAAGGTCCTCGGACAGGGAGGAACGGACAGACGAGTATATCTCGGCAGAAATCGCGCACATGTTGGGCAGAGGGCGATGCTGGTCTACATATAGTGGGGCAAGAGACGGCCGGAAGGACTGAAACAGGTTGCTGAGCCAGAGGAGCTTTCCGGTGAGCTTCTCTAGCGCTGAGACTGAGCAACGTGGCGAGTCGGACAGCAGCCTGAGCAAGTCGAGCAGACGACGCAGTTTGGAGGGGTCTAACTGGACCGTGAAGGTCTCGAAATCAAAAGACCACCCGATCCAAGTCACACGGGCAGACAGAGCGGCCTTGTGCCAACTCATTGGGACGCGCAGAATGCAAAGGAGAACCACGAGCAGCGCAGACAGGAGAGGCGCGGATGACCGAAGCAAGATAGCTAGCAAGTCATCAACGTAAATTTTGGCCGAGTGACGGACACGCCACAGACGGTGTGTGAGTCGGATTAACAGACCCGCGACCCGGAAACCTGAGGCCCTAGCGCCAACGGACTGGTACAGGACATCGCGGCGGCGGAAGCAGAGCAGTCCCTGGTCATCGGGCCGGACACGGACGCGACGGTGAGCCTTGGAGACGTCAAGCACCAGGGCGGCCAGGGACTCGTTGGCCGGGCAAAGCGGAATGCACTTGCGGACGACGGGGCGGACGGTCAGGCGAGACCACTACGCCCAGTTTGCCCACGGCAGTGTGGCGATAGCGGCGACGGAGCTCCTCGTCCCCGCCGGAGACCGGACGGATCCACCCTTCGCGGAGTTCAGCCGCCAGCAAGTCGTCAACCAGGTCCGCGTGATCAAGTGCAGACTTCCAGGCGGAGTCGCGGCGGATCAGGCGGAAAGAGGACCTTGC